CGAAATGCTTCCTCTGCCACATGTTGTGTGATTTTTTTTATTTTTGGGCAGTAACCAACATCACGTGCAGCCATGTGTACAGAGTCACACTGCTGATTATTTTGTTTCTTATCAAGACTATCTAGCTGTGTCTTTGTGCCCATGGATAAACAATTAATCTAGAAAGAAATGCTGTATAAATAATAGGCTACTTTTTGAAATTTTGGTGTGGCCATGGGTAACTTTACTGCAATACAGTGAGGATCATACCTCTTTTTATCTATGTTGGCAATGAGTGAGTTTAGTTAAATGATTAAAAAACCAAACCAAACGTAGTCAGCTTTACATCAGCTATGAATTTAATACAGTAACTTCAAAAAAACCAAACCAGTAAGCTTGGGGTAAAAATATGCGTGTAACAGAGTTTGAAAAATTGTTCTTTGTGGGTTTTTGGTCTTTTATAGGAAGTCATTGAATTAACCAAAGATCTCCTCTCAACACAACCTTCGGAAACTCTTGCAAGTTCTGACAGTTCTGCTTCTGCTCTGCCCAGTCACTCCTGGAAGGTTGGGGATAGGTGTATGGCGATATGGAGTGAGGATGGACAGTAAGTGTAGAAAACTTCTCTAACAGTTACATGAAATAGTTCAATGGTAAGAGACTTTCATTCAGTTTGAACTGCCTGTAGCATGACTAATAGCAAAAAGAAATTAGGAAATAAATATGATATTAGGTTATTAAAGGTCAGTATTTTAGATAAAAAGCAAAGAGATGTGGGGCCACTTTCTAGAAATGTCCTGTTTGTCAGTAACCTTATAAAAGTAGGGTAGCTTTGGTAAATTAGTATTTACTAATGCAATGAATGGCAGGCTTTCATGAATTTATCTCTCAGAGCAGTCTTTTGTAAAGGGTTTCAGGATGTATAATTCATAATTTGTCATTGCATTCATATATATGTAATTGATTTCTATCAAGAAAAATCTTTGCTGTATCTCAGTTTGCCTCTAATTGGAAGTTAATTTTTAATTGGAAATACTGGTTTTTGGCCATGAAATAACTAGCTGTGTAATGTAAGTATAGAATTAATGAACCTTTTGGATTTAATAATCAACCTTTCGATCTCTGTTACATTAGCCTGTGAAGTTCTGGGAACGCAAGCAGTTCATTCTGACTTCATCGTCTTTGAAATAAACATTCTAAAATTACTTTCTGTACTGCAAAATGTATAACCGTTGCAGCTTTTTAAAAATTACTACTTATGCAGGACTAATATCCCAATCGTGACCACTTAGAGAGAAGCTCTTGTTGTTCAACGAATGTGGTTCTGTTAACGATGTAGTAACCACATAAAGATTTTGGTATAGCTGTTGATGTCTTAGGTACAAAACAAACCTGAAAGTGAACAGTTTTTTCTGTAAGAGATTATTAATGCTTTTGCGTAAGAACTTAAAAATTGAATCTTGCTGTCTTAGCTCACCACTGGGCCATTCTTCTCTTGCTCTGATCACTGGGTTAGAGGATCAGAGCTTAGGGAAGAATGTGCCAGAGTGTCCACTGAAGTGGATCTTATTAGACTTAATTGTATCGCTTTTTTTTTTTTTAAAAAAAAAAACAAACAAACCCTGCCTCTCTTGCAATGTTTCTTAAGTGACCAGTGCTTCATGAAGAGCTAGCCAGAGATAAATACTCGTGCAGTTTGGGTTTCCATGTATTTTCATCCACCTCAAAGCAAGATGTTGTTGTCCCACTAGAATTGCAAAAGAAATTAACTTAGTAAATGTTAACTGGAATGTTGTCTATGAAACATCTCAATTTATTCCTCTGTTTGCTTTAGATGTATCCTTTTGCTCTGAATGTAGACTCAATTATTTTAAATATTTTTGGAAATGTCCCTTGGCCTTTTTTCCTTTTTCCCATTATGAGGGCAGTTTGACTAAAATGTTTTGTGCACATAAATATGAAATAGACTGGTTTCTGCTAAAATTTCAAAATTGCTCTTTTAAATCAATAAGAAAACTTTTAACTTTATAAGTGTTGAAGGGGGAATATTTTGAAAGCTTCAGTTTTCCTTAATTCTTTTTCATATGGAGAAAAATGGAACCAAAGCTTTGCTCTTGTGAGCTGACATTTTTCCAAAACTCCTCAGTAACTTCCCTGAAAGCCATGTTCTGTGAATGCAGTATTTTGTTGGGTCTTTTTTTTTTTTTTTAATCCCATGACCTGCCAGAACTAGAATCAAATCAGGATATCTGATTAGATTGCCCCGAGCATTAATCATTAGTTTTGATAACTGTGAGGCCATTGCTTCTTGATGCTAAAGGTCAAATACAACAGATTCCAGTCTTTGTACTTGTGTCCCTTTGACCTTAAGAAAATAATCTCTTGGTTTCATTTGTGTATTGTGAAAATGAAGGCCAATGTTTGCAAATTGTTTACTTAATGCCATTAGCTGGCTGACAGTGTTAAGTGTTGAAGGGCTGAGTATTCAAGCTTTACTCACATGCTTACAGCCATGATATCTTTACAGGTGTTATGAAGCTGAAATAGAAGAAATAGATGAGGAGAATGGAACAGCTGCGGTCACATTTGCTGGATATGGCAATGCCGAAGTTACACCTCTCTTCAACCTCAAGCCTGTGGAAGAGGGAAGAAAAGCAAAAGAGGATAGCGGCAACAAACCCATGTCCAAGTAAGTAATACACAGGCAGAAGTTTGAGAGCTGCTTTGTTTTTTGTGTGGGTTTTTTTTTTCCCTCAGATATAAAAATTGGTTAATGAAATAGAATCTCTCAATTTCTCTCTTCTTTTTTTAATTTTACATCTCTTTAGTATCTTAACATGTTTGCTTGAAAAAGAATCTTAAATCAATCTAGCATATAATGTTTGGTAAATTATGGTGGCTGGAATCATGTGTGTTATGTATCCTGGCAAGATAACATGATAGACTTTGTTTTTACTCCGATTATGCTATCTCCAGATATCAAGTAAGTAAAGTAAGTAGTAGATTAAAAAAAAAGTTAGTACTCTTTCATTGACAGCAGACAGACCACAAGTTTCAGCCCATATCTAGTGCAGGCTCTACTCAGATCTGTGATCTGGCTTACAAGAGTATACTTACCAGTACAAAGGACTTCTGCTTCTGCCCCATCCCTGTGTTAGGACAGCTGTGTTGCCCCCATCGCTGGGGAGACGTGCTTTACTCGATATCCAGCTGTGTCTAACATAGAAAGGTATTTTTAATGGCTGAAAACATTTTGGCGGCGGGGGGGGGGGGTGAAGGCAGTACAATTTCAGAGTTTGTTATAGGCAATGATCCCTTCCCTAAGGGATCGTTCTGAGGGGCGCCGCATTGTGGCATAGATCAACTCCTTGAACTCCCTTATCTTTACTGAAGTTAACTTATCTTTGTTTGGGCTTTTCACTCGAATGGGCTATTTAAATTTTCCAAACCCTAGGTGTGTCTGAAATGTGGAAGTGCCAATAGGTACATTTTCAGTTTCAGAAATGAATTGCACGCAAATGTCTCTTTTTTTTTTTTTTTTTCTTCTCTCCAGAAAAGAGATGATAGCCCAACAACGAGAGTATAAAAAGAAGAAAGCTTTGAAAAAAGCTCAGAGAATTAAAGAACTTGAACAGGAACGAGAGGACCAGAAAGTCAAATGGCAACAGTTTAACAACAGAGCCTATTCTAAAAACAAAAAAGGCCAGGTTTGTTTGGTTTTGTCAGTATGTGAATAACAACAGGGCATAGACTTGTGTGCAATACTTCGGGAGGGAGGAGGAAGTGGGTTTTAAAGGGATTTAAAGAGGGCTTATCTTTGGGATGCTGAAGTGTGCAGTTTGGTATTTTGTACACTTAAAAGGCCTGGTTTTGTACTGGATGGTTTTGGAGGAGTGCTGCTCTTAAGAAGCTGAGCTTGTGCTTAGTTTGGAGAGCTGGACTTACTGTCAGTTGCCAGGTAGGGTTTGTTGGAGCTTAGAACCTGAGGGCCTGTCTGAACCTCAAAGCCTGACTTGTTGCTGTGTGACCTGGCAGACACAGCACTAAGTAATTGCCCTGGAATAGCAAGCATAGTGCAAAAAAGGTAACAAGGACATTTCAAAGCCTTAATTCATTTTTATCATGGCTTGACCAAGAGCTGCCAGACATAGTAGTAAAACTTCAGTCTTCCTTGTGAACAGTGGGTGAATTTTATTCATTATCGGCCTGACCCAAGGTCCTGAGTACCAGGATCACATCCAGTACTTGGATGCCAGGAGGTTCCCAGTTCTGTTGTCTCACTTTCTGATAACGTGTCGTGGATGAGCTAGCCTTTAGAAAGTGCCTGTCTATAGAGTAAGAAGTTGAGAATATTAAAACTCTTCAAATGGTAATGATTGCTTGGTTTTTTAAGAGCCAGTTTGTAATTACTCAGAAATGGTGTTTTGCGTTTCATTTGCAGGTCAAGAGGAGTATTTTTGCTTCCCCTGAGAGTGTAACTGGCAAGGTTGGAGTTGGAACATGTGGAATTGCAGACAAACCTATGACACAGTATCAAGATACCTCTAAATACAATGTCAGGCATTTGATGCCTCAGTAACAGGGGAAAAAGGTGGAACTTCATCTCTGCAGGGCTTTACACTTATCTTTTTATCATTATATTTTTCTAAAAGTAAATTATTTGTTGGCACGTAGCAAGTAGTCCATTTTGTCACCATCACTTTGGCTTCAGCTGATACGAGCCTTAAATCTCCAGCTGTTGATTTGACCCCCCCCGATCATTAAACTTTTTGTAGTTGCATTAAAATACATTCTGCAGGTAAATGCTTTCATGAACTGCTGTTACCTGTTACTCTGAAAGCAGTAGTTACCTGCAGCTTTGATTTCTGGAATCTTTCTATTCATACTAATAGTGAAGTGTGTTTTTCCTTAAGAAAAGTGGTGGTATAAAAATGGCACCTTAACAGCCTCCCTCGTTTCTGTAGTCACAGTGCTGTCCACTGTCTCAGTGACAGGCTCAGCACTACAGAGCTGCTGCGGCTCTGGGAGATAGAGCTAGACTCCATTGTAGCTCATACGTCACATGGAATTGCTAAGGATGTTCTAAATTACTCCCTTTCAAATCCACTGAAGATCGATTTGTACAGCTGTAAATGAGGGCAAAACAGGGCCGATAGGATCTTTATTACTAGTGACAATTCATGTGCTAGAAACAATAAATCTGACTTTAATTCCAGTCTCAATTTCCTGTGCTAGAAGTTAGGCAGAGGAGATACTGTGGTGTTTTTTGTGTTTTTTTGTTTTGTTTTGTTTTAAATACTCATTGAAGTTTAATAGGAGGTTATTGAAAGGTTATTGAAATGTAACCAGAAAACCATAGGACAAGGTATTTAGATGCCAATTTCAAAGTCAGGAACTGTACTTAAAAATACCCCCCTTCCTCAAGGATCAGAAAGTTGGAGAACATAAATAGTTGTGCTTTGGAAAGAAACCATCATCTCCCCTCTTGTAGATCTCATAGTTTGATGGTACAGTCACAGACCTGGATACCCAGTAACAGCTTCTGTCTGGGCCTCCTCCATCCAGCCAAGTAGAACTGCAGCACAGCAGATAGGAATGCCTAGGTCCCACTTAGCTAGTTGTGAGTGAGTAAAGGTTAGTCTGAAGTTTCTGTCCTTAAATAATTGACTGGCCCTAGTGTTCATTGTAACTTCAGCTGTATTACAGTGCTGCTGAGCCCCATCGATTTTATTGAGGAAACCAGGTGTAAAAGCTCTTGCTTTCTTGTATTTTGTATGTGATTTGTTTTCCTCTGTTACTTGTCTCTCACTTACGGTAGTGGTGCCATCTCTCAACCCGTAATGTGTTTAAAGAAGTTAATGGGTAGCCCTGTATACAATGTAGATATTATTTTTGTAAAATCTAGGGCTGTGTTAATGGACAAGAGTACATCAGCTATTTCCCCCATTAAATAATTAAAGGGTGTTTCTTGTCCATTAACCCTGACCATTATTTCCCTGTATATTATGTTAATGTAGCTCATTTTGTAATTTGTTAACTAGATCAGGTCACGTCAGCAATTGTTGATGCACTGATTGGTGGAAATGTCCATCAGTTACCTGAGTCACAACTCAAGCTAAACTCTACAACTGGTAGTTTAGAATCCATACATAGAAAAAGGTTCTCCCTATAATGGGAGAAGGTGATTTTTATGAATACAAAGTGTGTTAATTTCAGTTTTGTATGTTTAACTTTTATTAAATAAAGTGTTTAAAATCTGCTGGATATATTTGACAAAGTGACTAAGTATATGTGGTGGGGGGAGAGTAAATGTTTAAAAAAGTGGCAAGTATAGAATCTGCTGGACAGAATACTACTCAAAAGTGAATCAAAAGTACTTCACACTCACTGCAAGATGAACTAGATGTTGCCTAATTCCTCATCTTCACTGGAAGCAGAGGGGTTACATTTTCTTTTGCATAGAAAACCTCTTACCTTCAGAATAAAATAGTCTTGACTCCACTGCTTTTTAGAAAGGGAGTTTGTACTGCGGCCTGTACCCTCCAGTGACAAGTCCCAGCAGTGATGTGAAATAGGTGACAGTCCTGCAATGCTGACAGCTAACTGTTGAGGAAGGTGACCTGTTGTCTTTCACAGATGGGTGTGGAACAGCAATACTGTATCCCTTTCACTATCCAAAAGGAGCATCTTCCTGAAGTTGGAACTGAAACATGCTGAACTGGAGTTTTCTGGAAGCCACGCAACCCTTAACTGCACCTGTGTTCTTTTTTTTTTTAAGAAAATAAAAGTAAGTCTGCAACCCTTAACTGCACCTGTGTTGTTTTTTTTTTTTAAGAAAATAAAAGTAAGTCTTGGGAAGAGACAATCTGTACCTGACATGGACTACATGTGCTCATCTTTTGATGTAATAAATACAAGTAAATGGCCTATCACAGGACTATTTGTTCAGTAGTCCTGAAGAGAACTTAAGGTACAGTGAGTCACTGTCATGCAGTGGGTGTGTGAGCCTCCCTTATGATAACGGACAGTCCAGCCCAAGTTAAAGCTAGTCGGTCTCATCAACTTCAGTTTTGCTGAGCCTTTCAAAAAAAAAAATTTAGCGAAGCTAGTACATTTCCTCTGAGTAACTTACTGTCACCTCTCTTACAATGTGGGTTGCCTGATGAATTTAGCTCTAACTCTTCCTTTGGGCACTGCAAAGAAATGCTGAAAGTTTTGATACGCTATTTCCTTAAATGCCTTACCTGGAAGAGAGTGAGACACTGATACCACTGTGACTGGGGTGGTCTGGTCTATGGAGGGGAAAACATTTTCAAGAGAACTTGTATAAATAAAAAACCCAGCAAAACTGCCATCTTGGCCACAGAGCCTTTCCTTGTGGCACTTGATCTTAATTTTTTTTTTTTTGACGCTGTTCCCCCATCTGCAGGATGGGGCTGGTTCGTGTGTAGTCTGGCTTTGGAACACTGCCTTAGTAAAGTGTCTTGAGAAATTCACTTGGAAAAATAAATCATGAATTAAGCAATGCTGGTAATTGTCAAAACAAACAAACAGAAAGTTCCTTATTTTACAAATGCTGAAGTGACCTGAAATGTGTGGCTGGAAATGTTGTGGTATTGGTTGGTTGGTTTTGGTTTTTTTAATATATATTTCCCAGTTTCATTAGCTGGTCTAAACGATAAGAAACCTGATTTTTTCAGAACTCATGCTCTGCATTGACTTCTGGGCCACTCAGCAAGCAGATTAAGTACCTACCCCAGTGCTAGCAAACCCTGCTATAAAGCAGGCAGTACTTAAAAACAGTGAAGTGACAGAGGGAAAGTTAGTTAAGTGTAAAAGTAAAGAGTGCAAAACCACCAAGCTAGAGTCGTTACAGAAAAGCTGTTTGTTGGAAAACACAGATTTGTTCCTTTCAGATACAGATACTGTGCAAAATAACCAGTATGGGCTACATATTTCCTCTTAAAAGTAAGTTGCTGCAGGAAATGGTTTATTTAGTACAGCCTCAATCTTCTGCAAACTCTAATCTACTGTGGAAATTAATTCAACACAAATCTGGGACTGCTCCAGTCAGTTGAAGTATTTAGAACAGGCTTAAGAGTAGCAACTTTAAATTTTTATGGTCAAGGTGATCCATTTCTCTTTTGCTTTCCCTTATGCCAGAGTGTTGTGTCACTGACTTCTGTAGGTGCTTGGTCTCAGAGGTTTGTAAATACAAAAAAGGATTTTAACTTGGAAGATTGCAATTCAACACCGGAGATGTTCAGAAGGCAAAACCGATAGCAAACTTCTATACTTCCCATTGATGTTCCACTCACCTGAATCAGCTCTGTGGCAGTATTTTGTGGAAACCACCACTTGCACGTCTTGCAAGAGTTACACTAAGTGTGATTACGGAAAATGTTCTTGGGCCAGGCCCAAGAGAGGGATCACTACCTTGCAGCTGATGTGGCTCTTTGCATTGCAGTTTGTCCAATTTTTGTCTGTGCTTCCGAAAGCATCACCTAGATGACTGCAAAATAAGGAAGGACGTTTGCATCAGGACTATGGTAGACCTCCATGCCACATACCAAAGCTAGCGACCTGTTAACATACAATGTGATTAAGAAACTTAACTGACATGTCAAAACTCTGGCCTTAAGCTGAAGGCTCTGCTACACAAACCAAGCAACTTAACTGACATGTCAAAACTCTTGCCTTAAGCTGAAGGCTCTGCTACACAAACACGCTCATGTTATTTCTTTTTTGTAAAGCAATTACCTTTCTACGCTGAACTTGCCTTGCAGGGATTCCTTGGTCTGTACAAAAGCACAAAGCCTTCCCATGATGGACGGTCACAGAAAATGTCTTGCTCTCACCTAGACTGAAAGGTGATGTTACTTCCCAAAGAGACATTCTCCATGAGGAAGACAAGTGATGCTAGGTTTTAAACCTTAGATTTTTAGCTGACCTGTATTCCCTAGGGCGATGAGTGCTATTTTGTACAGTTGTCCACCACTCCAGGAGAGGCAAGAGCTTTTATGTTTCCTCATCAAGCCCTCCAGTAGATCTAAAACAATGAATTGTTTTGAGACAAGTATTTTTGAAATGGGATTACATGGAAATAATACCACTCCAAGAGAGGCAAGAGCTTTTATGTTTCCTGATCAAGCCCTCCAGTAGGAGATCTAAAACAATGAATTGTTTTGAGACAAGTATTTTTGAAATAGGATTACATGGAAATAATTTCCTAGCTTTAGCTAAACTGAGCACTAGCTAGAGTACTGGTAGCCCAAGTCAAGTTATGAACTAGGTCTGTGTACATTCTGACTAGCAACCACAATGTTAAAACCACTATAAAATGTTTTAAATTCCTTGATGGTTTATCCTGCTTTGCTGCAATGCCCCTCAAGATCAAAATGAATCCTTGCTGAAAGGCCAAATTAACCAGCTCACCCCACCAGCTTGCTCTGAGCCTTACTGGAGTACTACAAACTAGGGGGGCTGATTTTTTTTCCAGTGTGGTAAAAATAAATTCAAATAATTACCCATAGCCCTTAAGCATGGTCAACATTGAAGATCTTTCTGAAAGAAAATGACATTTCACCACTTTGACCTGCATCAGTCAGGCCAGCGGCACAGTGTGACTCAACTGCTCAGCTCCGTACAAGCACACACCTCAGAGGACACATCCACCCTTCCCAGAGGCTGCTCAGCAATTCCTGATCCTTGGTATTTTTCAAGGGGGCTCAACACAAGCATCCCTCCTTGGGAAACAACTCTTCAGCTTTAGTCAAACACAGCAACACCCCGAACAGAAACCCTAAATACTACATATTCAGTACCACAGCCCTAGCGCCATAGGCTTCTTGTTTCTGCTTATGCCTAAT